TCATTCCTGCTGTTCTCAGTTGGTATCTGCTGTACTTCTGTCTCTCTTTCTATATATTTACTCTTGCCCATATCTGGTGTTGGAGGTGTGAATTGGGAAGTAAGTCTGATTGCAGCTGCATCTGATTCCATCCCAGATCGAAAATTGAGGTCATAAGCATGCCGGAAATGGTCAGATACTTCATCTGTAAATTTGAAGGTACAAACTTCAGAACGCTAGATGTCAACAACAATGAACTTATAGAGATTTTTCATATTATTCATTATAGGAACAAATCTGAATTACATTCTTCTCCACAGCGTAAGTAGAAAGAATATGATAAACTAATTGAAGCATGTAGATTGCAGAACTTGACAGGAAACAGAAATGTCAAACAAAGTAAAGGAATATCCAGGAACTAACAAATAGCTGAAAGTAAACTCACCATGAATTCTCCATTTTTAATCAGTTTTCTCCTACCAATTCCCTTATCTGTTAGATTGGTTCAGTTTCCTCAAAGATTTACACTTTTAATACAACAGCCCTGCTTTTAACTCATCAATTTATTCTTTAATGCTTCTTATGCTAAATTTTGTGCAAACATCACAGTTATACCATATTTAAGAATCCTCGGTGTAAATTACTATTTATATAAGCTGGACTTACACCCTGTGGCTTCAGGTATGCAGGAGTTACTGAGACGACCCTTCATAGAGCTAGACTCCAATTCAATTCGATAGCTGGAGCCAGAATTGAACATATCGCTTGCATTTCCACCCAATGTAGCATTCGCTCCCACAGTAGAAGCCGCATCTGCCAGTGCCATTAGCTGCAAAAAGGGAATGCCCTCTACTAATGCGTCAATAGAAGGTTTAGCCACTGTTCCATTATCATTACAGGTCACTTGGAATCGCCCAGCCTGAGCTGCTTCCCAACCGTAAGAACCATTAGCTTCACCATAACATGCAACTCCACTGCTGGTCTCAGCTTCGTTGGAATTTGAGAGTCTCTCTGATCCCACCCAGTATGACCGTGGCTGATTTCGGTCTATCCTTGCATAGATCAGCGGCTGCGGCGGAGGTTTTGGTAAAATGGGCTTCATGGGTGTTGCCGGAATCCAGGAACCGCCTTGATCATAGGCCGGATTTCCCTCATGTTGGCCGGAATCCATTTGATTGGTTTCCTCTCAAGCAGAAGAGCCAATTTAGCCCTCAAGCTTGCTCCAGAAAAGCCAGCTTCCGGCAAGGGTACGCCTTATTTTCTTAACGTAATTCTTCGTTCACTGTGAGAAAACGCGACAAGTTTAGAAATTTCATGGAGTCTCTTAGCACCGAGAAACCCAAAAAGCCAGTTTTATGTTCCAGCTCAAACAGATCGTAGCTGAAATACAGTACAAAATTAGACTTAACGATTAAGAGCCCATCTGAATTAAAGATCTCCCTTCTACAAAACTTCTGCTCTTTCATGGCAGCAAACACCCAGCTTTCAAAAATGGGGGAAAGAAAATGAAAGTAGAGAGAGAAAAAGAAGAGAGAGAGAGAGAGAGGTCCAGTCCACAGCTTCGATGATCATTGGAATTGAAGGGCAAGACGAAAGGAAAAAAAAGAAATCCCAACAAGCCACAATAATTTTCCCTTTCCCTTCCATTTCTAAATTAATTAAACTGAAAAATCACCATACTTTCAGGCGAATAGTTACCGGAGGACTGAGTCAGTGTCGGCCAGATCTGAGTTGTTACTACTCACCGGAAAGCCAATAAATCCTTATCTTCCTTCAACCCTTCACTCCCTTTATCTCTGTAAGGGGAGAATTGAAAGGAAAAACCAAACAAAAAGATGGTGGGTTTTATATATTTGCAGAGCTCTTTGATCAGGTGATTACTTATTTTCTTCTTGCCCATTCTCACCTTCTTTTGTCTCAGTACCTTATCAGGAGCTGTACATAGTTTCTTTTGCTTGCACGAAGATCATCATGCATGTTTAATATGTTACGTCCTTACAATTCTGATATAAAATTTTTTAAATTAAATATTTTAATAATTTTTAATTCATTCTCTTTCTCTCTCGATCACTTTATTATATAATATATATTCTTTTCTATTGCAACAGGGAGCCTAGACTAGAAACAGATTTGGGTAGAATATTTCTTTTTATTTATTTCTTTTCTGGGTTTAATATTTTTTTTTTTTTTTTTTTTTTTTTTTTTTTTTTTTTTTTTTTTTTTTTTTTTTTTTTTTTTTTTTTTTTTTTTTTTTTTTTTTTTTTTTTTTTTTTT